AAAGCTCATGAATCCACAGGTCATTACACCACAGGGATGAACCTACCACTACTTTTTCCTGAACAATATGTTGTTATTCTGATTGATAAATACTGATTCTTATACCTGAATATAATAAGTCTTGACCTCTACCTCAGCCAGAGAAGCATCTCTCTGCAGTGGGTGGCTGTCAATGCAGAGGTGCCTGAGTGGTCAAAGTGCTGAAAATAAATGACTATTGCATCCTCACCCCCACATGGAACATCCATGTTAACTGCCCACCCAAGGCTCAGGAACCACCTTCACACAGGGGCCAGAAAGAATGTCAGAACCTAATGATGGGGAAAGTCATTGTACTTCACGAACTTGCAGCTATGATTTCTCCCACAAGATCAAGTGAAGAAGACAGGGCAACATTCGGTGTCAGCCATAATTGGACTCACTCAAAAACAGAGAATTGGAAGAGAACAAAAGAAAAACAGTAGAGGAAATGACCCTGGAGGGAGACATTCTACAGGCACATGGGTAAGTGGCATGGGGCAACTTGCAATGCATATGAAGCAGAGAAGATTGTCACTTGAATGGAAATTAAAGAGTATAAAGAAATTCTACATACATAACATTAATTTATAAAAAACAAAACAACTTGTATTATGTGAATTAGGTGAATTTCTTTAAGGAGAAAGACAGGTATTAGACATATGCTCAGATAAAATTAATCCTAGATGTAATTTTCATATACGTGTGTGAGGTCATAGTTCGTAACAGTACACAGTTGAGACAGGAAAATTACATCCCAAACAGAAGAAAGAATAAAGAACAATGGAAAAAATGCCATGTGAAATGAAAGCATGAAATCGTGGATTAGGAGGACAAAAGTGATGGTGAGGGAGGATGAGGAAGAGGGAGGGCAGTGAGAGAGGGGGATCGGAAACAGAAAGTGTCTAGGAACATGCAATACAGAAAGTCTTGAGTTTTAAAGATGATTTTAAAAGTGAGTATGTTAGGTCTGATCATCACATCCTGGTGGGTGTCACGAGCAAGGGCAATGGCCAGTGTGGTTTGCGGGACTATGGGACCCTAAGTCAATAGCTTCTGAAAAATGATTGCATTGCTGGCATTGGGTTCTTTCCCATCCTATGGTTTCTAATAGGGGCGATGTGCACCTGTTATGAGGTATCAACTATTGATATGTGTTTAAAATGTATGTGAATATACATTTAGAAGCTTCTATAGTGGTAGGGTTAGAGAACCCTCTGAATACTTCCTCCTCTACCCTGGCCTACCTTCACATCCACATTGCACCCTTCCTATGCTATTTCCCCTCCCCCATGAATATCGCTGTGTTCTGTCTCACTTCCCATGAAGACCCCACACCGCTCCAAGCCTGTTTATTCATTTTCTGACCTCTCAGTTTTCCATTGAAACATGCATACCTAGGAATTCAGAAATGCCAGCCACCTACGAAAGAGAAAATGCAAAGTGAGTGAGGGATATGTCACT